GTTCAAATGGGATACCTTGTCATCCACCTGCATCTGATATAATTGATAATAGTCATTGCAGAGTTCCCATAAGAGTGATGGTGTTTCAGGTGTATGAGAAGGTAACCATGGCTCAAATTAAATTTTGAGTTTTCAGTGTAAAAAAAATGCTAGTTCTAACTTGTTTCACAGTTGGAAGACTCTGAGCTTTTGCGAACTACCAGTGCAAACATTAAAAAAAACCAAAACCTGGAATTAATACATCATGTAACATATTGACCAACAGATGCTTTGTCACTTCCTTCCCATTTTTGTATGTTGCATCTAATTACCTGCTTGTATCTTTGCTACATTTCCTTTCTTTGCTACTGCAACTTGTATAGAAGTCTTCAAAGATACTATTCATTGCATGAAAAGTTCTAATTTAATGTAGTACATATCAACGAACTGACCAAAATCAATGCTTCTATGATTTCATCCATATGAACACATATTTATGCGTGTTCTGTTTCAGTCAGTAAAATTCTTCAAAGGTAGAAGAAGATGCAGAATATTTAAATGTGGACATATCCTCTGTGAAGGTGTTGGAAGTCTGTAGAAAATCCTTTAGATATATTTCCAGCAAAGTGAGCTTGTCTTCCATCAAAGACATCACACTTCGATTTGGTTTTCACGTGATAACGATACAGTTTTCTAAGTACCAAAATTTCTTAATGTAACTACTGTTGTTCATCTTGTATTCAGTGGTCTGAGTAAGCATCAATTTTATGTAAAACCTAAATTCAAAGTTCAGCTGGTGTGTGAAAGCACAGAAAAAAAGTGCTGATGACTTGGAATTAGAGTAAGTACACAAATTTTGACTTACAGATTTCATTAACTGCCAATATAACAGTTGTGGCAGGGCATTTATTAATCATTTATTTTCAGGATTGGTGAATAATGAAAAAGCACACAAAATGTATCTCTGTAAAACTAGTGCAGTGGCACAATACCTCACTTTATTATTATTTTTTTTACCAAGATAAAAGGTATGGATAATTCTGTGATTTTAGCAGTAGTAATTATGAACAAATGGTTAAATATTTAAGCCGTACCTCTTAATGTTAATAATTTATCTTTTCAATTCCAAATCCTGTGGAGATTAAGTAGTAATGACAAGTGGTAAATATTTGTGTGTCGTGAAGCCATTACCACTTTATTGTATGGTAATGTCTCAGAAAATATGAAGAATGATTACACCTATTGAATATCCAGCCAGTATTTCATTGCAGTCCAATGTGGTTGCGTATATTATAGCACTAAGCTACTTCAGTGTCATGAGTGAGTGCAGCAGAGACAAAAAGGGGGCAGCCAGTTCTTGGGTCTGTTTTGAAAACCTGAATGCCAAAATTTGCTTTATGTTCACAAGGATGAAATCACTGTACATTAACTTGCTCACTCGACCTTTATTTTCGAGACCTTTCAAACAAAGCATCAAGATTACTGGACTCTCAATTTTAGGATTCATTGTATTAACTTATAAACAAATGTTTTTAAATAAAAACAGTGAATACATTAATTAATCAAAATTAGTTAAGGGTACAGAAATCAAATGTAGCCTTCACTATGAAAACATAGGCAAAAATATCTCTTTGAAAACAGTCTTCATGCACCTCATTTTCAGATTGATGTTTAAATCAATCTTATAAGTCTGTTAACATATTGATGAGTATACAAATGCTGATATACGAAATCCATGTGACTGGGGAGTTTTAACAGGTGCTAGTTGGATTTCAGTGTAGATCTGAAACGTTTTTATTTTCCTTTTAAATTTGGAGATTTTTTTGTATTTTCCACGTAGGAAAGTTAAACCTGTTCTGGGAAAATTTTCAACTATTTGAATTTGTTTACTGAGAATTTAAATGCTCCTTTTACATAAATTTTATGAAGTTTTTAATTTCTTTGCAATCTAACAAAATAAAAACAGGAGTACATATCTCTGTGTTTTAGACAGTTTTTGCCAGGAAGTGAGAGGAGAAGTAGGAATTAGAGCAAAGCAGAAAAAGCAACCTTTTTTTTTTTTTTTTAGAGTGGAATTCAGATGAACCAAAGTTGATTTGATAAATAATAGTTATGATAAAATTGTCCTTCATTAAGAACTCAATCCAGTAAAAATATGTAGTTTTAATTTCAGTGTGTAAGTTTGAGTATTCAATCTCTCTGTCTGTTTGCATTGGTAGAACACCATGCTTTGTCCTCAGATGTGGAAGATGGTACACTGCTTTATTTGCAAATAAGTGTTTCTAAACATGCACAGATAATTGCTCAAAGCTCTGTAGATTCTGCAAATAAATTAGTAGGACAAAACAATCTTTTTCCATAATTGCCTTTCCCTAAAAGCTGGTTAAACATGTATGTACAGTTGCCATTTACATATCTAAGTAGCTAAATGGATTTTCTTCCAACAGTGTTTTGAAAGTGCACTTCATTTGAGCTCAAATATTACAAGTCTGAGCTAAAAAGAAAATTCCTGTCTAAAACAGTGAACGCTAAGTAAGATATAGAATGAATGCCCAGCCCAGTCTGCACATCAGGGTTGCTACCATATTGTTAGAATAATTATATTTTGGCTGAACTAACTAATTTAGAAAACCTGCAGTGCATCTTGCAAGACCGCAAACTTTCCAGGACTGAGTCGGTTGGTTTTCTTTAATTTATTTATTTCTCAATGTAATTTACAACAATACCTCTTCTAGTTGCCAACAAACTCTTTCCTTGAATCCCCCCCATTCCTGGCTTCCCTCCTAACCATGTCCTGGCTCATCTCCAGAGCTGCCAAGTTTCTGCCAGAAGCAGGAGGTAGATTTGTATGGGGCTGGAGGAAGATCTGGAGCTCTGTTAAATTTTCAAGCCCAGATGGGGCAACATGATTTGTGTGTTTATGTCAGTATGCCATACATCACAACTATCTGTGTGCTGACGTCAGCTTTGATTGGGCATTAATGTGCTGAACACTGCAAACTAGAAAATACACGATAGATACAGATCTATGACAACAATGCCACATAAGCAAATGTCTATTTGTTGTGGCAATTCATTGTGGAAAATATTTCCCAAGATACACTGCATTAAGCCCAGAGAATATTTTGACACACTTTAAAAATAACAACAAAATCAACATAGGCGAACGGATTACAATTAAAGAAAGCAAACTATTCAGAAGAAGAGCTGAAACCAACAAGCTGAAGTATGTATATCGCTAGGTAAATATTGAATTGCTTTAATATTTCCAATCTAGGACTAAATAGGAAAGATGCTATTCTTAGGATTTACAGCACTTGTAATGATGAGGATGCCTAGCTGATGGTTGAGCATCTTTCTACCTACAGTTTTTGTAACCCTTGTTGGTTAAAACCAGCAAGCAAAAAGACTAATTAACAGCAAATTTTGTTACAAACGGTCTAATTTTTTTTTTTCCTATACTAAGAATTCAGGTTAGCTTCCAGAAATCACCAGTATTTCCCTGTTAACCTATATTACAGTGTAATGTTTCTTACTTACACAAATAACACCCAGCAACCTGCTGAAGAATTGACAAAATAAGGTAATTTCAAGTTTGTGGATTTACAGAGGTCACTGGCTACTTCAGATTTATGTTGTCCTTAAGTGACTGACCCTATAAAACAATGTGACTAAGAGTTTCCATTAGAACACGATATGCTGTCTCTCCCTTCCTAGAAGAGGAACTAATTTGCAAGTCATCTTTAATATTTCAGCGGTGGATATAATTAGGGCATGCAATAATGAAGTGTAAGGCTTGATCTGGAAGCAACATTCTTTTACCTCAGTTCACTTGCATCATTGCTCAGAAAAGGAATTCTGTAGTATTATATTATTTTATCTTTACATGTTGTTAGACTCTGCAGGTAAAACTGAAGTCCTCTGATTCCATGGGGATAGACCGTTTTGGCCTGAGCACAAGTAGCAGCTTTGTAAAGAGACCAGTCCAGAGGATTTAATGCCATCTGGCCCATAAGGTGGGGAAGGGAGGGGGTATGGAGGTACCAGGGGACTGGCGGCTTTGGGCCTTGTACCCTGAGCAGATTGGTCTGTGCAGGGCAGGCCATGGTTACAGCATTCACCTCTTTGGCAGGAGTAGGAAATGGTCACCTTCTGCATCTGCCTCATAGGCTTCTCTGTGGCTCTGTTGTTGAAAGCAATTGATGCAGTGCTCACTATTTTAATAAGCAAGCATGTCGGCATAATGCACATATTGCAAAGACATATCTAGCATCTCCCCTTTCTCTACGGTAGCAATTGCTGTGCAATTTTTTATTTAAAATTGAAAAAAATGTTTAAATGCACGTTTTGCACTAAGTGTCAGTCACGTAGTTTGCCAACAGAAGCTCAGAATGTACAAAAGTATTTAAGTAAGATTAATAAAAAATACAAAATTCTAATGTGGAGCTACAGAGCTGGTTCTTTCCAGTTGGCATGGGTGTGTTGTGAGGCGATTACACTTGATACCCCCGTTGCTGTGATGGGCACAGCAACAACAGCCATCGAGAAGAAGACTGTGCCAGCTGTCCTGGCAGTTTTGAGATTACTGTTTCTTTACTTGAAGGACTGTTCTGTTTTTTAGCAGTTTTGTCCCTTTTTTCCTTTTCTTTATTAAATTGTGACTTCACCGAAGCCCTCATAAATCTCAAATATGTTGAGAAAGGGTAATGCAACTTGATGCTTCGCTGCCACATAGCTTGTAAATATCTGCAATGTTAACTAACACTTATCTTAGAAAGATTGTGAAAATATGAATTTAGTGCTGTTGGCTCTATAATATTTTCTTCGAGCCAAATATATTTCTCTTTAGGCACAAATTTCCATCTATTTTAAGCGAATAAAACAGCCTGCCATCTAATTTCTAGGTATCGATGACCTACTTTTTCCTACTGTTTGTCATTGAGAAGACCAAAGCTTACTCCATGAACATTAATTACTTTTTTCATCACATACGATGTGTATTTTGTTTCCATGTCTTACAGAATAAAGCAATTATGGAACGTGTAACAAACTTGTCAGATATGGTAGTTGGTCTTGAATCATTTATTGGCTCTGAGAGAGAAACCAATCCATTATACAAGGATTACCACGGTAAGTTCCATCTTTAGCAATGCGAAAAGTCTGCCCTGAGTGTTTCTAGGGCACTTAGCGGTTTTACCCTCCAATTGGGTATCTGCTCTAAAGCAGAATTTGATTTCATTTTAGAATATGCCTCTTAAATGTTCCTCCTTGCTAACCAGTCTTGAGTTAGGAAAATTTTCCGTAAAGTGCATTAAGGCTGCAAAGGAAACATGGCAACTCCTTGCATGTTGTCAAGCCGTATTACTGAGGCATGGCTCAATCAGATGTACATCTCAACAGGCAGGCTTTGGGGAATTCACATGCAGAGGAGGCTTGGCAATCATCTGACCAGTGAGCTGAACTTGTCATGAAATCAATACTTCTGATCTGACGAGTTTTAAGTAGAGAACATGGAAAAACATATATTATATTAAAGGGAATAATCTGCTGAACAATGTGATTATATATAAAGTTTCTCTAAAAATAATGTGCTGTTTTGCAGCTTTCAGTTAGAGCAGCTATGCACTTACAGAAATGAATGTGGATGTATGTGGCATGTAAAATGTGAAACTAATCTTAGCAAAAAAGCATGTAGCCTTTCAAGTGATTTATCTTCAAAATGTGTAATGGCGTTTAATCCTGTATTTTTTTTTTTTCCCAAAGATTCTGTAAGCTGTTTCAGCAGAACTATTTAAATTTTAGAAGATTAGATTAGAAGTTATGCATAGCCCAAGCAGTGAATAACAAACAGTTACAGCTAATCCAGAGCAGCGCTCGGAGCGTGCATAAATTACAGCTATTATTATTGTGATACTACTGTAGTTCCATGGAAACCTTCTGCTGAAAGTAAACTGCTTACCAAAACTGGCTGTAAACATGTGAGAGCGTGGCAGTGCACAGCAGAATGTAGAGAAACATCAGCAAGAATGATGTTGAGATACCACAGTGTGTATGCAGGCTTTGAGTAATAAATGAGGGGGAAATGTTTTGACGAAGAAAATAGCACGTGTTTCTCCGTCTGAAAAAGGTGGATGAAAAAGAAATTCTAAAGAAAAGCTGGAATAATTTGCCTAATTATTTTCCCCGTTGTATAATCGTGATGTGGCATTTGTTTATGCTAACATAATTCTGTCAGTTTGATACCGCTTTTCTCAGCAGTCAGGAGATCTTTTTAAGACAGTGTGCTTTTTAGCAGTTATTTCCTATTCTCCTGTAAAAGCTTAAAAAAAAAAATCATTTTTGGTGCTTCTTAATAGAATTCTATAGCAGTGCACAGCTTTTGTGAGTTAGGCAGCCTTAACAGTCTAGTAATGGATATTTGTAATGATTTTAACCGTGTGGGTTATTTTCATCTACGCTCATGTTTTAGGATGATTTATTTACTGCAAATGATGGGAGTTTTTGTCATTAGTCAGGAAAAGTTTGTTTAAATTCTTGCATTATTTAGCGAATTCTGCACTAGTAATTTTGTTAAGGTGTCTGTAAATGCAGAGGGTTCAGGAGTCAGTAAAATAAACAATGATATAAATTGGCTGTAATTAAACGTTAAAAAATAAGAGGTAAAAACAACCCTTTGTTATGCCTGCTGCTCCTGCACATAATGGTTGTACTCTGAACTCAAAACTGAAAGGAACATTTTTTTATGCTATCAGATTGGAGGCAGAGGTAGAAGGCTTACATATTCGGAAGCCAATTATTACAAAATATTTTTGTAACAACATGGAGGACTTTGATTTTAGTACCTTATAAGCATTTGGCTTTTTACAGTATTTCAATTTTAGGAGCTTTCTTTCCCTATTCTCCCTTTAAAAATGAAATAAGACCCTGAAAAATACTTGCCTTCCTTTAAATAAGGGCTTTAATGTTTGGGGTTTTCTCTCTCACAGCTGCCGTTTTCAGGCGAGATGCCTTTTGTAAATGTTCAGTATTTCCATTTTGACACTGGCTTTATGAATAGCAAATATAGGCCAGTAATCGAGAAGCCCTGTAGAATTTTCCTGGTTTTCAGATGTAGAAAATCACCCTTAGGTTGTTCAGAAACTATATTAGGCTGCACAAAAACCATCCAGCGTCCTTGTCAGAAAACATCAGCTTGAGCTGCGAGTGACAGAATGCAGAGCTTGCAGTGTACCTAGCGCTGGTGCAAACATCTGAGCGGCCAGCTCAGCCTCTTGTGCACGGAAAATGGCTTTCTGTGCGGATGGCAGAGGGGTTAAAATTCATGCACAGGGTGCTCGAAATCAGTGTTTTCCAGAAACTTTTCCTCAGCCTTCTCGAGGGCGCAGCACCGCTCATTAGAGCCTCGGTGGTTATCTGTAACCCATAAGCCTTGTTTTGCTGGCTGCTTACTGGTGCATTTAATAAAATAAAGATCACTCAGTGGTGCCGTGGGCAGCATGCAAGGTGATAGCCATATTTGCTTACTGTAAATACAAGAGAAAATCACACACAAACCGGCTGTAGTTTTGACAAGTATTAAGATCCCTCTTTACATCTGTACTTCTGTACCAAAGTGCAATTAGTTTTCCTCGCACAAGGATTTCTGTTTATCTTATTCTGCTTGATTACTTGAGTATAATCGCACCGTTTGCTTCATTGCTCCTGGTAGTAAGCTCCAGTTTAAAAAGGGGAGGATGAGTGTGTGTAAATATACAGGATTCTGCTGTAAGACTCTCTAATTTATGCATCTGGATGACAGCGTTTTCTTATTTTTTTCCCCTCCTTTACTTTTTCTTTCCACAAGGTTTGCTTCATGTGCATCAGATTCCTCGGCTTAATAGCTTGATCTGTGATGTGTCAGACACGAAGGACCTTGCTTTTAGATTAAAAAGGAAGCAGTTCACCGTTGAGGTAAGAGAAGCGGTTTTGTTTCACTATTTAGAACCCAAAAGGTGGAGCTAATCCCGTCTCTTATGTTTCGTTTTGTGAAATGCATGAAATAGGCATCGGACGCTGTAGATTCTTTTCGTTACGTTTTTGCTTTTCCGAGCGGTTTTACAGAACGCTGCCGTACGCCTTCTAATTAAAGACGTCTCGTTTGCCACGCTAAATCGGTCTGTTATAAATAGTTTATTTTGGTTTAAAATGTACATAGAAAGTAGGCCACAACCTTCAATAACAAAGCGTGACATGTTTCTAAGGATGTCAGGAGCATATTTAATTAAATGTTAATGACTTGCTCTTACTTCTGTTAGTGGGTGGGAAAGTAGCTACATGTTATTACCCCGGTAGAGGGATTTTAATGTATAATGCTGCCTAAAATTGTGTGTGGTATGAGGGATAAGTGTCCTTATCAGTATTCAGAAACCATTTTCTTTGCATTACTGAAATCACCTTTCGCTCTTTTATGTCATTTTAAACACAGTATCATTTACACTAATGTCCTTAAGTAAATTTCCTACTAAATTTAAACTTTTTTCCGTGACCTTTATGCAGACAGTCCTGATAGAAGGCAGTAATACAAAAGATGTATTTCATTTTAATCTTGCTAAAGAGCAAATGAACACAGCGCTATTAAGCAATTAGAGCTGATGTATTTATTAACCAAGTAATGCTTAGAGATGGGAGATGGCTTTTGGGGTGATGTGATAGTCATCGGTACAGTCTGGGCAAATTTTTTTTTAACAAAGACATAAAACAGCCAAGCATCCCTGACAAACCATTTTGTTTAATCTCTTTTCAAATGAAAAGCTCTTAAGCAGGCCACTTGTCTTAACTGCTTGAAACCATAAAAAGAGAGAATTGCCACCAATAAATTAGCATATTTTTTACTCCATCACCAAATGATGGTCAATGTGGCTTGGCACTGCTTTGGTGTTTGGGACTTCACCCTTAAGTGACCACTTTGGCCCTTATTTGACCCTCTGCCCTTTTTAGCTGGCCACTTGATAAGGTAACTTGAGGGTTCCCTCTCTTCACTGCCCCCTCCCCTTCACAATTGCAAGTAGCCCTAACCTATAAATCATTGAAAGGGCCCTATCAAGTGACAAATTAAGGTGCCCTCCTCCTAATTAATGGTCATCAATGTCTTTAATTATCTAATCCTATTGAGAGCAGTTAATAGTTAATCAGGCAGCCACTTCTTCAAGCAGGTCATCTCTGCATGCGTGCCAGAAGTTTCCCAAGTAGAGGTATCCTCTTCAAAAGCCACTTAGAGGCAAATACATGAAGGAGGGCTATTTTCCCCAAAGACGTTCATTTGTAACGTTTCTCATTTTCCAGCGAATGCAGTTAATGCAACCAGGCGTTGTGAGGTATTAAGCCATTTTAGCAAATGCTTGGAGCAGGACATTACAGGCAGAAACTTTAGTAGTCTGCAGCTGATTTTAAAATACAAATGTTTTTGCTGCTTTTAGAAGTGCAAAGAAGCACACAGTGTCATTAGGCAGCGCAGGAAAATCACAGTAGGGCTATAAATTAGAAAATTGTGATTCTTTCCACTTTGAATCCTGACTAAGAATATATCTTTTCTGTGTGTGATTCTAATTCATAATGTAACTTGAAAGGGGGAAAGTGTGGAGGGGAACTAAACAGGGGGCTCTGTAAAAGGAATGTAATTAGCCATGGGACGGAGCTGCTGGGAACGGCTGCAGTGGAACTCTCGGAACAACCTGTTGCCCCAGACGTGTCCATGACCCACTGGAGTAATTTCTCTCTTCATTGCTCAGCTGCAGCCCTTTTCAGTTTTTGTTGGAGATATGCTTTCCAGAAGTTAAACTGACTCAAACTGGTACTTTCTGAACTCGTAAGATCCTGACCACATTTCATTACTCCAAAAGTTTTTCTTCCTTATACTGGGAGAGGCAGACTGCAGTGAGGCTGAGTGGAGCAATGAGTCCATAGGAAAATGGGAGCAAGGGAAAATTGAATTAAGAAGGGATGTGAATACAGTCTTCTAAAACTGGGTTCTGCAGTTAGAATGTGATGAGTCAGCAGTCAGTTTTGTTCTGGTGTAGAAGCATGAAGCTGCACAACAGCCTGCATTACACGCACGAGCATGGTTTATATAAAGTGCATCCAAGTTTGGGACTTCTTTCGTAGCTCAAAAGCAAGTTTGAAATATATTTTGAGTACGTAGCAGTTTTTGGAAAGCGACTGCTTAGTTACGTACTCAATTTGGGTTATAATATTGGCCTCCTTCAGATGCCTCTCTAAGATGAAATTGCTTAAGAAAAGTTCGAAATACATGACTTCTAATAGCAAAAATTTTTTCCAACAAGTTTTTGTCAATAGAACTTTCTTATTTTATGGTTTATAATGAGGGCACGGGGCATGGATTTTCTCATGTCTGCATCACCAGTTTGTCCCTCAACAGTACCAAACTTTAAACGTCAGGTCTGTTTTATTAGACTTCATTTCTGTGGGAGGGACTCTACCTCATTATAGCCTGCAGAATCATTTAACTGTTGCAATCTTTTTTCTTGCATCTTCATCACAATCAGATTGATTGAAGCGTATTGTAAAGGGTGGGGATTTTTTCACCTGATGGATGGCAGTGCTTTTTGCTGGGTAGTTATGAGTGCTCATTTTCAATTTTTGAGGTAGACCTTTCCCAGGTGCACTTCAACCCTTATGGTAAAAGGTGCAGTAGCTGCACCCGGTTTTCCCAAATCTTCGTGTTAGTTAATAGCTATATATTAGTATATGCAATATTATCAGCCACCAATCTTATGTGCATGCCTCTTTAAAGGACACAATTTTGAAGTTAGCCTGTCTAATCCTATTTCTTCCCACTTTGGAATCTTAATTAGAAGGAGATAAAAACCATCATTTGACTAAATTATTGTCTTGAATCTGTAGCAAAAGGTATAATCCGCAATTGGGCCAATTAGTGTACCCCATAGTTAGCTATGCTGAGGCAGGAAACTTGATTAGATCTGACACCAGCCTAGTTCCCACTGTTGTTTTGCCAGGTATGATGGTCAGACTTCAAAGGGCTTGAGGCATCAGCAGGGCAAGGTTTGGAGGCCAGCTTAGGTCCGGTCGTTAATCTCTCTGCTAAAACCACAGCAGCCCTCGCACAAAACAAGCTTACACGACACAATCATGCGGTATTAAAGTTTGGGTTGAGTCATGCCAATTTGCCTTTGATTTTCTGATGATTGACTAAAAGATGGCTACATGACTAGACACATACTGAAAGTTTACTGATTAGGTAAGTTCCCCAAATATTTGAAATATTTTTTGATTTCTCAGTTAAATGATATGACAACGCATTCATCTTGACGAAACTTTTCGGCAGAATTGTTCCTTAACTTCTTTTTGCTTTTTGCTGTTGCTGTTGCTCAGAGTGTAACTTTTATCAACGCTGGATACATTTTGTAGAAGCATTATTCTCACCCTTTCCTTTGGTAGAATTTTTTTCATGGTTGTGCCCGAGCCTCCTGTATCAAAACCAAAGGGATCTGTCTCTGATTTTTTCACTCCTAGAATGTCTGAGGAAGCGTTGCCTGTCTTTGTTATTTAGGCACAATCGCTCACAAAAAGGGAATTTCCTCTTAATTATTTTCCTCCTAAACGTTGAGTTAAAGTGCTGTTCCACGGCTGTGATTACATAAGTGTTCCTTTCTTTTGCCTTCTGATTCGTTGAAATATTGCAGTAACAGTGACATGTTTCCATTCTGAGAAAAGCCTAAGGCTGCTTTAGTATTATTCCAAATGATTGAAATTGCCATCTTGCTGACTTTCCCTTGGGCAGCTTAAGGCCTGTTTACTTTTGTATTTGTTTCACATGTTCCCTCTGAGTTTGGCTGGCAGGACATCATTACCTGGTTTGACAAGACAGTTGGAGAAGATTCATATTTGATTAACTCCCTTTCTTACTGTCTGGTCAACGTAAACCTCCAGAATTTTGTGTTTAAAGTTAAAACCGTCCATAAAGTCTGATAAATGCATGCAAAAATGAACAGATTTTTTGGAAATTCCTGAGTTTTGCTTGAATTTTTCAATCTTCAGGTAGCAGTCAATTGTTAATAGTAGAGAAAATAAGCTTTTACTTACAAGCTGCATATCGTTTGTCTGACAGTTATTACAACTGCTGTGAAATTTTCATTTTTATTTATTTTGAAGAATTCACAAGAGCCACATGGCAAAAATAAGTAAGTTTCAAGAGCATCATGTACGAGTTCAGGAGATTCTTTTCTGAGAGATGTTTCCTAAGAGGAAAGGAAGAAAGTCAGCAGTAAAGGGCTCCTGTGGCAACCAAGCTGTAGCTTCTCAGTGGTAGGCAGATACAACATGGCACTGTGGAGCACTCTGACTGCAGTGCATTTTGCCTAGAGTCAGTTGTCAGAGTAAAAGGATATGTCTTTGGAAGGAAACATCAGCACAGAAAGCAGCAACAGGATCTTTATATAATTAAAAATAATTGTATGATTCCAAAGGCATCGTAATGATGTTCTTCCTTCATCCATCGTTAAAAGCGCTGTAAGAAAATCGGCGAGCGAGATTGAGTTGTAACTCCAGATAGTCATGCACATGTTGTGTTTCCAGCAGGAAGGAGGCTTACAACCCTTTTCCTTTAAAGTGGTAGATTTGGCAAGTAAAACCAGGAAAGGTGCTGTATCTTCCATTTTTTATTTCACACAGACTATACTGTGGAAAACTTCCTGTTAGAGAACTAGAAGTGCAGCTAGCCACTGCGACACGCTCCTCACCAAAGGAGATTGATAAGCCCAAGTCAGAAATGATATCTGCAGTGTTTCAGTGTGCTGTTGATGTAGCACGAGCTCAGTTCTGATTCTGTGATGCGCTGAACAGCAAACTGTGCTGCCTGTAACATTTCACAGTTATTCATTAAACGCACCAAGGGCAAGTGTGGACTTAGTGGTTTGGGATTATTAGTGAGCTGC